TGTGTGTGTGTGTGTGTGTGTGTGTGTGTGTCTCGCCTCGTTCCTGTGTCCAGGCCTTTGAATGGGTTTCCTTTAATTTTTTTTCCTCCTCTTTTCAGACGAGCTGGAGGAGGACTCCTCCGGGGATTTGATGAGGTTTTTTGCGCTCCCCTCCCTCTACATCTCCTGTGTCTATGCACAAAGGACCAGCGTCCTCCAGAATATGACTGTTCTGGAGGTCGCCGAGGCCAGGAGCAAGACGAGGGCTTCCTCATCAATGTAAGTCGAAGGATGCAGAGTTCCTGCTGCCATCTGGGATCATCACTCGCTGCTGCGGGAGCGAGTCCTGCCGTGGAATGGCAGGCAGGAATCAAACCCCTCTCTCTCTCTGTCTCACTCCCTCCCAAAAGATGAAGGACCATAAGACCAACCGAGCCTTCGGCTCTGCGAAGGTCTACCTCACCCCGGAGGAGTTCGGGTGGCTAGAGCGGTGGCTCGACATCCACACCGGGCTGGAGCCAGAGATGGACCTTGTCATCTTCACAGACGGCAACAGGAGGTTCAACAAGCTCCTGTTGCCTATCCAGAAGGCCTGGTCCGACTTGGGCTTGCCCGGCGCCCCCACCGTGACTGACATAAGGACATCGATAGCCACCTATGTAAGTGATCATCTAACATTTTGAAAACGGGACGTAACAAGGAAATGTTGAAAACTTTCCTTTATTTCCGAAGGCAAGGGATCACCTCCCGGCGGATGAGCGGAGGGTGATAAGTGGCATTATGTGCCACGACATCTCCACTGCGGAGGAATATGCAGTGGACAGGTCGTGCCGCCAGCTCGCCATGATACGCAGAACCTTCGACACCCTGACAGACCCCGGCACAAGATGGGAGTCCTCCTCGGGCAAAAAGGTGGGTTTTCATGTGTCCTCGACTTACCTGCCCCCTCGAAGCCATCCGGCAATCTTAATAAATTATGGATCCGGCAGAAGCATAAGGCGGATGTCCTGTTCCATAGAAGACTGCAGTTATTCCAAGTCAAGGCTGGACTGTCATCTGGAGCAGAGCTGGATGCTGGAAAAATACAGGAGCTGTTGAAAGATCTAAAGAGGTGCTATACCCTTGGACCAGCTGACGGTACTGAGGGCCACCAACCCTCAGCCTCCAATGATGTTGAGCCTGGACGTTGATATAGAGCACGATGTCTTGTAAGTGGCCACTGCATGCAATTCTCCGTCCAACTGCTCCAACTGTGACACCCTCTCCAAGCTCCAATCTGAGCTGAAGGATATTTGGAGGAAATACAGGATCCAAGCAACAATGCTAAAAAGAACCAAGAACCGCATGAAGCGATTGGAGCAGGTATGTAAAATTCATTACCATATTCAATTACCTACCTGTGTCCCTGCCATACGGCATTATGTGTTTGACATAAAGGAGCTAAGGTCAATGCTCCCAAGAGTCATTGACCTCTGTGGTACTCCTTGGCTCCTCCAGATCCAGGAAGGCGTTTTAGAAGGCTAAACCTTACCTTTTCACCTTCAACAGGCCCTCAAAAAGGCGCCTTCCCCAGTCTCCCCTCCACCCCCAGAACCAGAGCTCTGCCAAGAGCCAGAGGAAAATTAGTTGTCACCAGAGGAAGAAACCTCGAACACGTAAACCGCCCCACCCACACCCACAATGCTGTCAGTACTACAGCAGTACAGGCAGTTTCCAGCTCTCACGTGTGAGTAATGTCAGTGCTTCCTACATTTTCAAATTTTTATAAATCGTATATGTTACTATTGAGTCCTTTTTTTATTCAGTGCAATGCATCGAGGGGTACTAGGACCACCTCAAGGGCTCCTGTGGAGGAAAGAAGCACATTGAAAATCAAAAGTCGAAGGTGGGCCGCATCATGCAGTTCCTCACCTTCGTGGTGAACAACCGGAACATCACAGGAAACTGGAGCATCCTGACAAATATTCATAGGATATAACAGTAAGTGTCTCTCTAATGCATGTTAGCTATTATTTGTGTTTTCTTGTTGAAGTTACACCATTTTTTTTAGCAGGTGGCCAGAATACCTCTTAAAAATAGGAAAGGCGGTGACCACCATTAAACTGTACATCGTCAACCCCAAAGATCCTAAAGAACGACGGCTGTGGTTGTCTGTTAAGAAACAAAGGAAACCATGCCCATAATAACAAAGTGATTAAAGACGGAAAAGGAATGCTCGTACCCCGGCAACAATGCACTGAATCTGCAAAAGCTGGTGATTACTTGCATTGCATTAGGGTGACCAGAAGATGCACCACTGAAGTTGAACAAAGCAATGATCTGCCCTCAGCCAAAGGTACGAATATTTATAAGTGGAAAGAAAATTAGATTGTAGATTTCTGTTAAATAGAAATCGCATATATTCTTCTGACATTGGTTTGGTTTAACAGAGAGGTCAGATGATGTGGTACCAGCGGACATGGAAGTCTCTGGCAACTCCAACACAACTAATGGTAGTTTCTATTCCTCCTTGGGCATTATAAATGGGCAGTAGCTTTAAAAATGTTGCGAGACACATCTTTCAAACTGAAGAATTTACTTGACTGCTAATTTTTATCATTAAAAACAAAATTATAACCACAGGATCTAATCTCCTATTAACTGAATCTTCCTCCTGCAAGCTAGGCTTGAAAACCTGTAAACTTTAGTTATTTTGTACAGGCATTTAGTGTTCATTGAATATTTCACATTATCTGGTGTAAACATATTTCCAATATTTCCTTATTTTTTTATTGAACTAAACAAATGTGGGAAATAATGAAGATTTCACAGCACTGTCTGTGTGGTGTTAAAATGAGGTTTCCTTGTTTTATAATCTCATGAGGACCACATAATGTCTCTACATATAAAACTTTAGAATAGTTTAATTTTCATTTGACTGCATGTCCTCAAGCTAAAGTTTGGTTTTATTTCTTCTCCCCCTTCTTCTCTATTAATGTCACCTTGAATTGTCTTCAAACAGTAAACTAACTAGAATCAAAGGTTGCTTGAGTGGTTATCTTAATCTTTCTGTTTAACTGCACCTATAAAATCTTTCCAAAACCTATTAGTTAGGAGAACTCATCACGTCCTGCGAGTTTTCCCAGGTTGGACTCTGACAAAGGGAGATTTGGGCTTCATCTATTAGAGAGCCCCATTTATGTTGATGTTGGCTCACCGAGTCTTTAGCCACCATCAAGTCACTCAAAACCTTCCTTTTGGTGAAGTCCCTTTGAAATGGCTGATATTTTAAACAAATGTTTTTAGAACATCCCCCTGACTTTTAATCCTTTATTCTTGTTAAGTATTTTGCACGATTAATTTTCTCCTGTACCTGCTGATGCTTTTATAAGTGCTGGTGAGATTCATGTGTTCACTCATTACCAGTTGTCAGCTTCAACAGTGACAGCTATTGAAGCTGACAACTGACCCTTAACTACAGCTGTGGTAAAGAAATGTTTTCATAATAGCTTTATGACTTGCCCTGTCATACAAGACTGAGATCTTTTTTCATTGAAGAACACTTAAGTTCCCCTAGTCATTTTTCAGGCCCATCACAAAGGAAGAGACTGAAGTGGAGCCAAGAAGAAATCCAGGCCGTGGAGAGAAAACGCTCACGAAGTGCATTGAATCCTCACCAGTAGCCCTTAAGGACAAGACATGGGAAGGGGTTAAATTCTACGTGAAAAATCATGTAGACGTACTTAAACTAGACTTTCAAAATAAGGTAAGCGTTGACATTTTTGTTACTGTGAATGAAAACAGATCATTTGTCATTTGGAGTTTCTGCCAGTTTTGAGGTTTTGGGACAGCTGCGGTCAAGTTTTGTAAGGCAAGTACGTATACTGTATATTCATGTTTATG